ATTCATGTTCCATTTAGAGGTTTTGTGAATATATCACCAAGTTCTCCTGTTTTCATGCAACCAATAGATATAAAGTTTTTCTAAATTTTTTCTCGGATGAAATGACAATCAATCTCAGTATGTTTGATTCTCTCATGATACACAGGATTTAAGATAATATGAAAAATAGTTTGATTATCGCATAAGAGTTTTGCAGGAGATGTGGGATTCAAACCCAATTTATTTAAAAGATGGTGTATCCATAAGATTTCACATGTGGACTGGGCCATAACTTTATATTCAGACTCTGTGCTTGAGCGAGATATAATTGTTTGCTTATTACTTTTTCATGATACGAGATTTCCACCAACAAAAACACAATAGCCCGTAGTAGACCTCCTATCAATTTTAGATTTAGCATAATCAACATCTGTAAAACATTCAATGTGAGTATGTCCGTGATTTTTAAATATTATGCCGAGTCCCACTTTTTTTAAGTAGCATAGAATCTATTTCAGAATCTCTCATTGTTTAACTGTAAGTGCAAACATAAATTGACTTGCAATATTAATGGGATATGCAATATTTGAACGAGTTACAGTGAGGTAATATAATTTCCCAACTAGTCGTCTGCATTTTTCTGGATCATCAAGGGGATCACCATCATCTTTTGTAAGATGTACATTTGGTACCATAGGCGTATTACATGATTTACCTTTTAGCTTTCTTGTTTCTGCAAGTAGATCAAGTACATATTTCTTTTGAGATAATAAAATCCCTACCTTACTTTGTGTTACTTCAACCCAAAAGAAATAGTTTGGCTGTTTCAAGTTCTTGATATTGAACTTGGTATGCAAAAATGACTTGAGAGAAAATATTCTTGCATGGTCATTTCCTGTAATCACAGCATCATCAATATAAACAATAAAAAATATAATACCAACTATTGATTGTTTATAGAAGATTAAATGATCACACTTGCTCTTCTTTAATCTGAACTCACAAACTATTTTACTAAACTTGTCAAACCACACATGGGAATTTTGCTTTAGACAATACGAAAATTCATTCAAATGATAAACTTTTCTATATTCCTCATAAGCAACAAATCCAGGTAATTGCTCCATATACACTTCTTATAAGATATCACCATGAAGAAATGCATTTTTAATGTCCAGCTGGTGTAAGGGCTAGTCTTTGGAAGCCATAATAAATATGAATAAACAAACATAGGTAAGTTTGGTCACTGGAGAGAATGTATCAGAATAGTCCCCCCTATAAGTCTGAGCATAACTTTTTATTACCAATTAACTTTTAAGTCGTATCACAGAGCCATCTGGATTCGCTTTGACTATAAATACCAATTTGTACCCTACATGTAGCCTTTTTTCTTTTGGGTAAATCTACCAGATCCCATGTATAATCATCATCAAGAGCATTTATCTCCTCAAGTATGACATTACGCCAACCAGGGTGATTCATAACCTTCTTAACTGTTTTGGGTATAGAAGTAGAA